GGTCTCTGCCTGTCTGTTCTGTCTGTATATCTGGCTCTCTGTCTATCTGTCTTTCTGTCTGTTTTTTGTCTGTCTGTCTGTCTCTGACTGTCTTCTCAGTCTTTGTCAGTGTGTCTGTCTGTTTGTCTGTCTGTCTGTGTGTGTGTGTATGTCTGTCTGTTCTCACTCTGTCTGTTTGTGTCTTGTCAATCTCTGACTTTCTTGTCTGTCTCTCTGTCTGTCAGTTTAACTGTCTATGTCTGTCTCTTTCTGCCTGACTGTCTCTGTCTGTCTGACTGTGTGTGTTAGGTTTTTATTTGGAGGGGTGGTTGTTGGTTACAACACAACTCTCCCTACAATGCAATATAACACAACACAATTCTCCCTACAACACAACACAACACAACACAATTCTCCCTACAACACAACACAACACTACACAACTCTCCCTACAATGCAATATAACACAACACAACTCTCCCTACAATACAATACAACACAACACAATTCTCCCTACAACACAACACAACACTACACAACTCTCCCTACAATGCAATATAACACAACACAACTCTCCCTACAACACAACACAACACAACTCTCTGCACCACAACACAACACAACTCCCCTACAACACAACACAACTCCCCTACAACATAACACAACACAACACAACCCCTACAACACAACACACAACAAACTCTCCCTACAACACAACACAACACAACTCTCTGCACCACAACACAACACAGCTCCCCCTACAACACAACACACAACACAACTCCCTACAACATAACACACAACACAACACAACTCCCCTACAACACAACACAACACAACTCTCTGCACCCACAACACAACACACCTCACAACACAACACAACACAACACAACTCCCCTACAACACAACACAACACAACTCTCTGCACCACAACACAACACAACTCCCCCCTACAACACAACACACAACACAACCCCCTACAACACAACACAACACAACTCCCCTACAACACAACACAACACAACACACCCCTACAACACAACACACAACACAACTCTCCTACAACACAACACAACACAACTCTCCCCTACACACAATATAACACAACTCCCTACAACACACCACAACACAACTCTCTTGCACCACAACACAACACAACTCCCTACTATACAACACAACACAACTCTCTGCAAACACAACACAACACAACACAACACAACACAACTCCCCTACAAATACAACACAACAACACAACTCCCTACAACACAACACAACACAACCCCTTCTGCAACACAACACAACACAACACAACTCCCCCTACAACACAACACAACACAACTATCTCTGCACCACAACACAACACAACTCCCCCTACAACACAACACAACACAACACAACTCCTCCTACAACACAACACAACACAACTCTCCCTACAACACAACACAACACAACACAACGCCCCCTACAACACAACACAACACAACTCTCTCTGCAACACAACACAACACAACTCTCCCTACAACACAACACAACACAAATCTCCCTACAATACAACACAACACAACTCTCCCTACAATACAACATAACACAAGTGTATGATTGTCTTGTTGTGTACACACACAATGACTCATATGTGTGCGTGTATGACTGTCTTGTGTATTTGACTGTCATGTGTGTCCTTGTATGACTGTCTTGTTGGCCTCTCATGTGTGTGCGTGTATGCATGTGTATATGACTCATGTCTATCTATCAGCGGCGACTGGTGAAACATATCAACATAGATCCTGATATTGAATAGTTAATGAAGACATTTTGCAAGAACCTATCCCAAACAACAGCGTCACGGTAATTAATGAAGAAAAACTGCAAAAATACCACATGTAACATAAATACAACTTCTGGAATATTGATCAGTGCCAGTTGCTCACTTGGGTGACAACACGAGTATGACACCCATCCTGGGAGGTGGAGAATGGTACCATCCGTAAGGCGCCAACGGAAGGTATCAGGACCCACTGACTGGGAAGGGTGTGGAATACCCCCCCCCCCGACGACGAAGAAGCAGAAGAAGAAGACGACGACGACGACGATGAAGAAGCAGAAGAAGAAGACGACGACGTAAGGGTCTCTCAGGCTATCTGACTTTGTGTTTCAATCTCTGTCTGTCTCTGTCTGTGTCTCTGTGTCTGACTGTTTCTGCCAGTCTCTGTTTCTATCTGACCCAATCTTTCTCTGTCTGTCTGTTTGTCTGTGACACAGAAACAGTTTGGGTGACAGCGGTCGAGCCAGACTCCTGTTAGTCGAGCTCTCTGTGCCGTCCTCACCAGATCTCCTCCACGTGCACTGGAAAAACAAAACCAATATTTAAGTTAAGTGTTTTTAATAATACCTGATAAGATTGCTAGTGTTGTCTGAAGGTGAGTTATTAATTACTGATAACGATAGATCAATGTTGACCTCATATTGATTACAAGTCGTGACTGTTTGTGTAGTGCTCAGGTGTCGTTTTATCGCAAGAGTGACGAGTATTATCAGCGAGAACGTTAAGGTGTTTTTTTTTATCCCTTTAAAGGCGCGAGTGTACCAGTGGTGTTAGAAGCGATGGTTCACACGCGTTGCCATAAGGAGTTGTTATAATGTTGCCATAAGAGATTATCATAATGTTGCCATAAGGAGTTGTCATAATGTTACTTTACACCTATACCTGGATTTTAAACATACATATCTGAATTAATCTTTAAATTAATTGAAAGGTAGCGAATATTTTGAATCTTTGAACGATTTAGTGTAACTGGGAACAGTACTTTATCCAGTCCTCAAAGGGTTAAACCATAGTCCTCAAAGGGTTAAACCACAGTCATCAAAGGGTTAAACTATAGTCATGTAAGGGTTAAATATAAAACAAAAGAGAGGTTCGTCAGGTGATACTGGAGGTGGCGAGGTTGATAGTGAAGATAATGATCTAGTCCGATGGTTACAAGCATTTCAATAACTTATGGTAAAATTTATGATAACATGACAACCAAAAGTTTATATCTACACTTATCACAACCAAAAATCGGCTCTGAGATTTCCAAAGTTAGTAAACACTTGTGATATTAACCAAAAAAAATCTGGATTACATGATTTCCAGAGGATTGTTATAGTTGTTATTTCAAGGTATTATTACGCGTGTTAATATTATTCTTTTACGCTATTATTTCTCCCTTTATTTATCCAAGATTACTAGTGCTATTTTGTTATTGTGAATTATCTTTGTCATTTTCATACATGAACTGCTTGTGGGTTCTAAAGTTTCATAGCAAGAACATAAGAGCATAAGGAGTCTGCAATAGGCCGATTGGCCTGTGCATGGCAGCTCCTGTCGAGAATTACTACCACTCTCTATCATCCATGAATCTATCTAGCCTCCTTTTAAAACTCGTCCACCACCCTATTTGTGAACCAGTTCCTTCCTGTCTCCCTCCTAAACCTAAACTTATCCAACTTAAATCCGTTACTGCGAGTCCTATCCTGCTCGGATATTATAAGAACTTTATCTATATCCCCTTTATTGATTTCTTTCACCCAATTAAATACTTCTATCATATCTCCCTACACTCTTCGTCTTTCTAGGGAATGCAAGTTTAGTTTCTTTAACCTATCCTGATATGGAAGGTTTCTAAGTCCCGGAATCATTTTCGTCATTCTTCGCTGCACCGACTCTCGTGAATTGATATCCATTCTATAATAAGGGCACCAGAACTGAACCGCATAATCGAGGTGCGGCCTGACTAACGCAAGATACAGCTGCAATAAGACCTCTGCACTCTTATTACTTACACTTCTAGATATAAAACCCAATACTCTGTTTGCCTTATTTCGAACATTAACGCGCTGTTTTTTAGGCCGTAGGTCCGGGCTTACAAGTACCCCTAGGTCTCTTTCACAAGTCGACTTCTCTAGGTTGATGTTGTTAAGGCTGTATACATTGACAGATTTGTTCTTCCAATATTAAGTACGCTGCACTTGCTGGTGTTGAATTTCATTTGCCATTTTTCAGACCACCCCTGCAGTTTATTTAGATCCTCCTGTAATGCCTTTGCATCCTGCCCTGAGTTAATCTGCAGCCCTATTTTGGTGTCATCCGCAAACTTGCTTATGTCACTGCCGATCCGAGTATCTAGATCGTTTATGTAGATTATAAAAAAAAGTGTTGTCTTATCATATACAATCAATTCATTATCGATAAAAGTTTTACTTGCAAAAAGGAAGGCAGTAGAGAGGCGATGGTGTTCAAGAGAGGACCTAGACTGAGTACTATAGAGGAGGTCGACAGTACATTGTCCACACCAGCACAAGAGAGACGGTTCGGTACGAGTAATAATGGATACGAGGGTAACCACGACGCACCATCCACACACCCAGCTGTCTTCATCATCAACCACTCACCTGTCCACCCACCTGTTGGCGGCGATGAAGTTGATCAAACATACACACAACCTCCCCAGAATATGACGCAAGGGGATGATGGTGTAAAAATGTTTTTATTATATTATCGATTATTTTAGAATTATGTTTCTTCAGTTAATAAGATAATATTGTGTGTGTATGTTATAGGCGGTGAGTGTTGGGGAGGGCGCCATACACTGACCGTACTAGCCTCACTATGCCTGGCGATACAATATTCGACGCGAGTGAATTTGTCCATAGCCATTGTAGCTATGGTGGGGACGACCTCCCACAACGACACTAACAACACACTCTACGACACCTGCCCCACGCTAAACGACACGGATAACAACGACAGAGATGTGGTGAGTGTTTGTTGTCCCTTGTGGTGGAAATTTGGTTAGTCGTTTTACTGCCTAATATTTATTAACTTTAATCGTGTATAATAAGAAAATTACTTGAGGTGTAAAAGTAAACTGTTGTATTATAAATCATAAGAATAGATTAGTTTATTTATCTATTTTCTGGTGCTTTTTAATCTATATAAGCAAAAAGTTCTATTCCAAGTTTAATGTGTTGTTTCTGTTGTGATATTAACGGAAGTTTTGAACTGTGAGAGATTTTACCAGCTGAGTCATACAGTTGTCATATGAGACTTGAGTTACAATAGTTGGTTCCAGTTTGTTTAGTCAGAAAATCTTAAACAAGTCACCTGAGAGTGTTAAAGAGATGCTAAGACATTAAGTACTTTCGGGCAGCATAAAAAGAGGATTGGTGGCTGCACTGTTTATACACATTGAGTAAGACTTAGCAGTGATGACGTCAGGTACTTTACACATGTCCTAATGTTTAAATATGACTCATAAACACACTAGTTTTATCATTTAGTATCAGAATATAATACAAAATAATCTCTAACGTGGATATTTTTCTTTTTACTTGCAATATTATGTTATTGATTGGTCATGTTATATTTGTGTTTGTCAGGATTCGCTGGGAACTGAACTCGGGGCTGGTGTTGGAGTTGCCACTACTAACTTGGCGGGCGGACATAGAGGCACTTTTGGTGTGGCAACTCCCTCTCTCTCCTCTCAACCCTCTCTGTGTCTCCCTCTCGAAGGAACTCTTTATTGCTATCAGAGTTCTGATTGGCGTCAGTCAGGTAAGGTCGCAGGAAATTATTACCATTACCCGTTTGACAGTGACGTTGGTCTTTATATTAACGTTTGCATTAATAACTTAGTAATGGGACGCCAATATCTAAGATACCTAAACTTATGATAAACAAATACGCTTAACTAAAACATATACATAAATTGAGAACGAAAACAAAGACAGTTTATCTATCATGAAAACAACAAGTCGGTGGTCTGACTTATAAATAGTACATCACGGGACAACTGAGTGAGTTACCCCTTAAATTAGAAAATAAGAGAACGTGTTAAGAGTATCAGAGAAAACTATAGTAACTTTACAACTGCAGAATATTTATCACATACTTGCATATATTGTAACTATTTATCATCCTCGAGTTTTACCGTTGAACAAGCTGTCAAGTGATCTTCATATACAACTAAGTAGGTTTTTAAATAAGTATGAACTTTAAACACAAATGATTAGATATTTCTTATAGTTATCAGTGATTTTTGCTGCGTCTGATTATTTTTTGGGGTAAGGAATTTATCATAGCGAGATATCAGTTTACCTGCTGTAGTCCTTGTGTCTGTCACGTCTCCAGCTGTCTTTTGAGGGGCAACACGATGACTGTTATCAAATCCTTCATATAAAAATAACTAAGAGATTACTTTTCAGGTCAGTTTTATCGTATAATCATACCTTAAGAATTATTAGAAAAGAAGATGAGAATTAGTGCTTTGTGATGAATTACATGAGTTAAAACTGTCTCTACAAAACAATTTTCCTTCTTAGTATTTTAGTCACAAAGTTTATGATCTGCGAGAGGTAAAACGAAAATCAATATTTTGGTGAATCTCTCTAGATATTTTTAACACGACAAGTTTCATGGCGTTTATCTTTACTGATGCCGATTACGTCCTTAAGTTTGTTATCTGTGTGTTGTTTCAGGGAGTGACCTATCCGGCCCTGGCTGCTATTATGGCTGCCTGGATACCCCCCAAGGAGAGGGCCAAGCTCGGCTCTATTGTGTACTCGGGTGAGCTAAAACAACATTTATTACTTTATTTAAGAGGCCTGATAACATGACATTAAATTCAATTTGAGTAAAAGTCTGCTGAATGTTATGTATGGTCAGTACTGTTGGTTGGTCAGTACTGTTGGTTGGTCAGTACTGTTGGTTGGTCAGTACTGTTGGTTGGTCAGTACTGTTGGTTTGGGGAATTGATACTTTATTTGGTTGGTTATTTTGTTGGTTGTGGTCATTTTGTTGGTTCGGTCAATTACTATTAGGACGATTCATTGCTGTTGGTTGGTCAATACTGTTGGTTGGTAAGTACTGTTGGTTGGTCAGTACTGTTGGTTGGTTAGTACTGTTGGTTGGTCAGTACTGTTGGTTGGTCAGTACTGTTGGTTGGTCAGTACTGTTGGTTGGTCAGCACTGTTGGTTGGCCAGTACTGTTGGTTGGTCAGTACTGTTGGTTGGTCAGTACTGTTGGTTGGTCAGTACTGTTGGCTGGTCAGTACTGTTGATTGGATCAGAAGCTGGACACTTTCAGCAGACACCAGGAGGAGGATAAAAGCCTTTCAAGTGTGGTGCTTCAGGAGAAAGTTAAAAATAAGTTACACTGAAATTGACAACAACATCAAGAGAATTACATATTTACAGAATAAGGAAAGTGAGATAGTTTGACCATAGGCTTAAGGATGAGACGATAATTGCTGAAATATTAATGGACAGAATTGATGGTAGGAGGGCCAGGGGAAGGCAGACATAACCCCCAGACATAAGGCTCATACGTTGATGATTGATTGATTGATGGTACAAGAGGCATGATATGTTCAGCTAGGAATTTCTTGCTTGTGTAGACGTGCCAAGTGTGTGTCTAGTGTAAAGGGTATCATTATTTTCCTTCAGTGTAATAAACAAACATTAAATATCATCACATGTTAACAAGAATCATCAATCCTGTTAAATGTCCAACACACACACACAGGGTCGCAGGCCGGGACAGTGGTGACGTTGGTGGTGAGTGGGTGGTTGTGTGACTCTGAGTTCCTGGGTGGTTGGCCCTCCGTGTTCTACGTGTTCGGTGCTCTTGGGTTCGTGTGGTGTGTTCTGTGGTTCCTGCTGGTACACGATTCTCCAGAGACACACCCAACGATCTCCCCAGCTGAATTGAATCACATCCAATCAAGTCAAGATTTGAGAAAACAGGCAAAGGTGAGAGATGAAGGGAGTTAAGTAGAATAATTACTCTCGTACTGATCGTTATAATAGATGAATGAAATCAAAAGTTGTGGTCCCATGAGAGATACAACATCTGAGAGACTTGTGGTCAATACAACCATTATACACCGTGAGTGGAGGGCCATGGACCCCAACCCTCAGACATGAGAGCTGCACCGAGGAATTGATTAAATCCTAAATTATTATAAATCAGATTCAAAGGAAGAATGTAGTTTGGATATTAGTAAACTCAAACACTATTAATTCATTACTATTGAACTGTTTACGTGTGTGTGTATAAATTAATAATGTTGGTCTCCCTGAAGGTAAAGAATATACCATGGAAAGCAATATTTACGGCTCCTCCTATGTGGGCGGGGATGGGCATGTGTTTGGGCACCAGCTTCGGTTTCTTCACCCTACTGACAGAGCTGCCAACCTACCTCAGTAACATACAACACTTCGATATAAACAGCGTCAGTTAAAGAGTGTTAAGTATTATAATATATTTACCTGTTTAAGCTCAATACCTACCAAACACTTTCACTATACCATGACATTTCAATCACACGGACATATAACGAAATATGAAAGAATTTAATTTGTCTTCGTGTCAATGAGTTGAGAATTTGAAAGTTATTTCATTTTCTAAATACTTTTGGGGAAACTTTATAATGTATAACATTTCAGTTTTTATTGTAACAGAAACTAAACAAAAAAAAACATTACTGTATATTCATCTTCTATCTATAAAGGTGATCCCATAACAAATAATGTATGAAATTCTAGACAAACAATTACGGTGTTAAAATGTATGAATTAATAAATTACAAACAAGTATAGAATCCATCAAAATATTTAGTACAAACAATAAACAAACCAGATTTGTTTGTTTACCTTTCAGAACGGTCTCCTGTCTGCACTACCATACCTCATACAATGGGGCTTCTCCATAGTGTGGGGAGCCATCATGGACGTGCTCACAAGGACCCGAGTACTTTCCTTAACCTCTGTTAGGAGGGTGTCCACTGGCGTAGGTGAGCCACTAACTGTACTGTGGGTCCTAGTCTTCTTTTGTCTTCTATATTGACTAAAGTTAAGAGTTTCCGACACACTGCAGTAACCATACACACACTTGTACCCATAAACACGACAGGAAAACAGTATTAAATGGCACAATTTTTTCCAGCATGTTACGTCTTCTCGGGGGCACTGATCGCTGTGGGATTCGTGAACTGCAACCCGACCTTAGCGGTGGTGGCTGTGTGTGTGGCCCTCGGGTTCAACGGTGCCATATTCAGCGGACAGTATATGCTAGAACAGGATATCGCGCCTAACTTAGCGGGCACTCTGGTGGGCATCAACAACACGCTGTCAGCCATTGCAGGGTTTATCGCCCCTGTGTTCACTGGAGCCATCACCAACAACAGTGTGAGAGACCAATAGAACTTTAATCAATATCTCACAACACTACACTAACTTTCCAACTACATACAACAGAAATCCTTTACTTATCTCTTCTGCAAAATATCAAGAAAGTTCTCAGGGTATCTAGGAAGTTTCTCAGTAGTCTCTCAGTATTATCAGTGTATTTGATCTACTTTGAGACACGACCATGAGAATGGTTCTCTCAAATCACTTACTGAAAACGGAGGGAGATAATTTTTTCTATGATTAACTTTTTTGGAGGCGAAAGTCGACAATTATTTTAGCTGCCGATCTATATAACATGATATTTTCCAACTCAGGGACCGATATAAATACTCCTAGAAGAACACTTTATACAACGTGAGTTTAGTGAACCAAACACCTGCCCAAACACTTCAAATCCAGAGACAAAATCACTGACTTAATCCTCTATCTATATTGGTGGTTAGGATTAGCGTGGATCATCTTTAAGGCTGGATAAACTAAAGGCTAATCTTCAGGTGATCCATTTTTAACAATCTGTCAAACTTCTTCACCTTCAGGAAACACTCAGTAGCTGGAGGATTGTGTTCCTTGTTGCAGCTGGATTGAGCATCTTCACTACAACCTTCTATTTGGTGTTCATGTCAGCAGATGTTCAGCCTTGGAATGACCCGACAAATGACAATGAAGGTTGGTTGCTTCCCGTATCATATGACAGTGAGACAGTGTTTTGTAGGACTCGTGTTTACTATATTGTAATTCTTAGAGGCTTATGAGTTAATGTGTGTGTGTGTGTGTGTGTGTGTGTGTGTGTGTGTGTGTGTGTGTGTGTGTGTGTGTGTGTGTGTGTGTGTGTGTGTGTGTGTACTAACCCATATCTGTATTTGTGTTTATAAATATACAAGTTAACAGTAAGAACATTAACTATAATTATATATATATATATATTCACAGATAACACAACAACGGCAGACAACAGTGACAACAGAGGGATACAAACAGTGATAATCCCACTCCCCCTTCCGTTAACTCTCCCTCGCCTCAAGCTGTAACTTACTCAAGGTGCACCTTAGTTATAGCTTTGTGTTATAGGAAAAATAATAAACAAAAGATAAGAGAATTTGTTTATATCATTGTTTATTTATCTATTCTCTGTTGGGTTAATATTTATAATGTAATAAAATAATGTCTTTATTTACTTGTGGTCGAGACTATATACAACAGGCAGGTAAGGTTTTTTTTTATGGAACTTGATGCATCACGAATATTCATCCCCTTATTGACTTACTGAATCTAACCTAACCTAACCTAACCTAACCTAACCTAACCTAACCTAACCTAACCTAACCTAACCTAACCTAACCTAACCTAACCTAACCTAACCTAACCTAACCTAACCTCATAAAAAATAAAACTAATATTTTGGAATTATTTACGTATTTACATATGTTGTTCCTCATTGATCATAAACACTAAATGATAAAATATATCTCCCGGTCACAATTCGTCCATCTGGGTAAAAAAATTCTGAATTATTGTGTTTACCTTTCAGGATATATATACAAAGTAACTGTACAGCAATAAAAGTGAACTAATGGCAATTGGACTTCCCTAACAGTACCATAGACCAACTACCAATTATCTTGACCACTGTGTTGGATCAGATTTCACAAAGGGAACTAATTTCTTCTTCTTTTTTCAAATTCATCATAATACGTATAAGGGTTATGTAATGATGTTATAATGTATATGTGTTCTGTAACCTTTGTCAATACATATCAATAAATATTATACACCTCCTTTAAGCATACATTATCTGACGTATAGTGTGTATGATTAATTAATATACATATAATATTTTTTTTCTAAACTTATCTTTTAAAACTAACAGACAAAAGTTTATGAAAGATTTGTATTAAAGAGAAAATTTACAATGAATAAAGTTTTTAATTACAAGTAAATCATTCAGAAATAATAATAATAAGACTTTAACCACATAACCTAAATATTCTCATTAAATAAACGTAATATTAACCTGTATTTTAATTAACCCTTTCATTACCTGGGAGCTAATTGGTTAACGCCAGGTAAGGTTTACGTGAGTGAGGATCCCGTATACAGGTGGTTAACGAGTCGCAAAATTAGTCAATAATAATTAATATATAAGACTCTTTAGTATCCTTATAATACTTGTATAGTGTTTTATAGACCTAAATAGTATCATTGTTTTCAACTCTATAAACAACAGAGATTATCTTCACTACTAAAACCATTCAATTTCGAACAGATGGATAAATTTACCGTCTACTTTACTTAATTAGACTCATGTTTCCTTAATTAATTATTCCTTATTAAATTTTTTGCTGAAATTGCCAAACTCTCAGCAGTGTTTCATTATATTTTCCTTGACAGGTATCCTAGACAGGTGTTGTGGACAGGTGAGAGATAATTAATAAACACGCCATAATATATTTCACATCAGTAGTCTCGCCTCTTGACAATAACATCATTATGCATTAGTGACTCAGCTTGGGTATCTGACATACTCTGTGATGCCTGCTGTCAATAATCTTGAATACATTTGCCAGCTTCCAAAACCAATGTCTCGTGTTGTACTTGTGAATGAACGTTTTGGGAACAGAAATTGAGCAAACTGTTGAGGATGCTCTTAAAATCTGTGTGTTAATGATATAAACATCTGGTGCAGGAAAATAAAGGAACTTCTGAGGTTGTGTTGTCATTCTGGCTTCTGTCTTCCCTTACAGATACCAAGATACTAAGGTCCTAATGATTAGTTTATATTTTGGGTCCAAATGTTCAACAAACACGTGAGCATTGGCTTAGAATAAAAGAAAAACAAGGGAATTATTAATTATGGAAGGTGAGTGAAGAGAATTATTATGATGAGAGACATTTACCTGTATGAATTAATTAATATTATATAAATTGTGATATATAGACAATTTTATCATTTTCTATAATATTCAACCATATACTGTATACCTGTGTTGGTTGCAGATGCTCTTACTTTTGAATCGCTCTTACTTCTATACGTACAATAAACTATTTAGCGGGACGTGTCTTGGCGTACACTATGACATGTGAGTTTGGTGTGTGTTCCACTCCAAAATATCTACTGTATGATTAATAATCTACCATATCTTGATATCAGTGCATGTCTCGGTGGACGTCAGTACTCAGGCAATGGAGTTCAGAGGAGGTTCTGTCCTGGGGACCATCCAGGAGGCTCACAGTACACAGGACACACTATCCGGCTACACACACGCCCACAACACCCCAGAGACACCTAAGCCTGTGTTTACCATCAGTCACTCAGCTGCTGGGTGGGAAGATGGCGGGGGACTCAGAAAACCTTCCCGGGAGGAGGTACAACATGATAAACCTAATCTAAGAGAAGGTAAGTGATAAATTGATTTATACTTGTAATGATTGTAATCTCAGATGTAAAAGTTAACTCGCGTGTCACAAGTGAATGAGTAACACAGATCTGCGTCATCCTGATGTTAAGGAACACTATTTACTCTACTAAGTAACACTGACTTGCTGTTAATGTTTATATATAAGAGATACATATTGTTTTTTACGTAAATCATTTCGTACTGTGGTCATTACGTACACAGATCGTCTTTACGTAAATAAATATCTCATAAGTCGCTTGTTACACACATTCAGATAATGGAAATTTGTGACGACTGTTGTAGGAGACGCCCAGCATGTCTTAAAGTTCATTATAATGTCATATACTATTAGAGTTAACCAAACACTTCACAACTTACTATCTTTTTAGTTATGAGTATGTCTAATCTTAAAAAACAACTAAATATAATTATTGTAGCGTAAAACTTAATATTCATAAACTTTAAAATATAAATAATCGTTTATATTTCAACTTCAAGAATTAACAACAAAATATTTAACATACAGTGAAGAAATGGTTTTCTTAAATATTTTTGCATAGGAAATTCATTTTTTTATTAATAAGAAATACTTTTTTTTTTAGACAGGAATGATTTTCACCCAAGACTTCAATGTGCGCAACTGACTCAATAAATGGTGTTAATTTAGCTTTACTAAGTGAGAAGAGGAATAATTTAGACGACTCATTGACAGATAAAAGTATTGTCCGTTTAAAGAGCCTTTGTATCTTAGTTATTGTTGTTGGTGTCTTCTTCCTGATCCAGTGTTGAGAAAACACTTAAAAACCTTAGTTGTTGAAGAAGCTCAGTAGTACATCCTAAAAACAATATCTTTCATGCTCTACTAAATATTTTGATGCCTAGAATTAAGGACCAAAGATTTGTTAATGAAGGCGAGTGTATCTTAACGTGTGTGTGTTGCAGGCAGCGAGTGTTGGGGAGCGCGCCACACCTTAACACTGATGACGTTCCTCTGCCTGACGCTACAATACTCCACGCGGGTAAACTTGTCCATAGCCATCGTAGCTATGGTGGGGCCGACCTCAAACAACGGCACCAACGAGACACTCCCTGACACCTGCCCCGCGCCAGATGATGACGGAGACTCCGGTGGCATCGACGTGGTGAGTACCTGGAGGTGTTGGTTTAACAGAGATCCTTCTAAAAGTTACATTTTCTGTTTATTTTTTCTTTTAAAAATTATTTGTTGATTTGAGAGAGTTTAGACAAACCGAAGAATGTAATTCACTACAACACATCAAAGGGAACCTGTTGTGGCGCCTCAGATGCAGTATTGACATGTTTAGTGCCACAGTGTTGGTCAGGCTGAAGAAGAGAGAACAGTTTAACATAAATTACGTGGGATGAAAGGTCTTAACTTTGTCTTCAGGAAAGTTTTGGAAGTAAATAGGTTGATAGTTGTGTGTGTGTGTTATGGCTAACAGCGGCAGAGGACTTTCTCTATTATGCTTAAGTTCAGTACAAGTGTGTTTACCGTAACTGCTGCAGAAGATCAACAACTTCAACATTTGGGGCAACAACTAACATTGCTGTTGTGTGGGGGTGGTCAGCTGATTAGAGCAGACAAGATATGTAATCTCAAGTGTATTTGTTGGTCTTTAGATGCATCACAAACTTTTAACTGGTAATAAATAAAACCTTTCTTTATGTTTAGAGTAAAATATGTCAGAGATATTTTCTTACCATTTGCCCTCTGCAAAATGAAGGAAAGTGTAAACTTCAGTTTATATTAGAACTTGATTTCAACTCCTACAAACTTATTCCACACTTTCAAGAAGACATTAATACGCTCTACACTTAAACATATTTATGAGAAACAGGATTCGCAATCAGAAACGAGAAAATTTAGTGGGAAGTTATTTGGCATGAAAAATAGTGTTTCCATATAAGTTTTCTTAAAAAAAAAATGATGACGTGTGATGTTTACACTCAGCAAGGAGAGTTCAACTGGGATGAACAGACTCAAGGGCTGGTGTTGGGAGCCTTCTACTGGGGTTACGCCACTACTAACTTTGTGGGCGGACGGGCGGCGGAGTATTTGGGAGGCCGCCTGGTGTTGGGTATGAGTTTGTTGCTCTCCTCACTCCTCACCCTCTTCAACCCTCTCTGTGCCTCCCTCTCGAAGGAACTCTTCATTGCTATTAGGATCGTACAAGGCATAGTGCAGGTGGGTCGGAATAAAAGGATATTGTGTGTGTGTGTGTGTGTGTGTGTGTGTGTGTGTGTGTGTTGTTATACCTGTGTATGAGTAAACTTGGACCAACATATTTTCTTCTGGTAAAACTCACCGATGAAGGACCACGATACCAACGACATAAACTTGACGTACACACCGACACCCTTCACACACAACCAATCCTACCACCAAATAAATAACTCGAGCCGATGTGTTGTAATAATATAAGAGAAACAAAACCAAGTGTGTGACTTCAACTAAAAGATAACTGAGTGTGTTTATTTTATTTACTGTTCTGTTCGTGGTTTGATCCACACACAAAGTGACAACGATATCTGGGTTATAAAAAAATATATATATTTTTTCTTTTTGAAGTATTATTTCTAAGCAGTCAGAATAAGACTTGATATCTTCATTAATCTGGAATATCGTCGAATAGATAATGATTTTAATAAAGTTATCATTACCACCCGTGGTTATGTGTCACCAAAACTCCCTACGTTCAGGTAATCTGTTTATCTGTAATAATGTCATGTTGTTTTACCTCATTAGGCACCGCAATGATGCAACTGTCACTGTTACCTGTATCTGCATATACAAATATGTTACATCAGCACTATCTCAAGAGTAAAAAGAAGCGGCATACAGTATTATTATCCATCGTGTCTGCCTGTATACAGTATGTGTGTCTGTCTGTCCCAAAAATTAAATACCACAACATTGATGATACAAGTTTGCATAACCTGACATCAACACTGCCCAAACAAAGTCTTGAAACCTCTACAAATTTAATCAAAATAATATACAACCAAACGTGTTATGAAAGAAAGAGTAACCTGTATATGACGTGTTTGTAACCTAATGTATACGTGTATTCTTCAGGGAGTGACGTATCCTTCTCTCGGCCTTCTGGTAGTCTCCTGGATACCCCCCAAGGAGAAGGCCATACTCGCCTCCATCGTGTACACAGGTGAGCTCTTATCTTCGTGGTTTATACGGGATAATCTTGTTGACTGACTGAACTAATAATAACTTCGGTATATTGTTCAGGACAGAGAAATTAAAGGAAGGTGGTTGTTATATTCGATCCCTGGCCAAGTTATTGATTATCTTAAGGACGGGAGGCTGTTAAGTGTTCGTTTTATCAAACACTTTCACTGACACATGGTTACACTGCACAGTTATCAGGGAAGGAGGAAGATATACCACAGTTACGGGCTTTCATCAACAGGTCACCACTGAAGCGGACTCAAGCTCCTGTTGGCTTTTGTATCTAATCTAAGTTTACCGAACAAGTACATTTTATTTTCCGTTTACCAAGATATTATACAGGAGTAGTTATTAGAACTTCTCACTCTGTCCAATAGAATAAAACATCTTTTCTTAACAAAATAATTAAAAGAGCAACAACCTCAGCAAAAATCCCTCGATATACTGATAATAACACCTGGTTAGACTAATTAAACTATACACCTGATTACTATTACTAGAAGTAGGAAGATTCTTGACTAGGCAGACGTACATATGTGTGTGTGTTACAAAATGATAATTAATTATATACATAAAATAAATAATATACTTATAAATACTGTACCTGGAGTATTGTAATTTAGTTTCTGTATAGGTAATATACTGTACTGTTCTAGGAGGTGAGGAATTATACTTTCATAAGACTAAGGACCCTAATTAAGTTCTATTATGTTTTGTTGATTAACCCCAAATGATCAGTAATAATGCTCGACAACATATACTGTACATATATTAATCCTGTATGCAAATTACAGGGTCGCAGGCGGGCGCTGTGTTGCCACTTGCAGCAGGTGGGTGGCTGTGTAACTCTGGGTTCCTAGGTGGGTGGCCATCACTGTTCTATGTGTTTGGTGGTCTGGGGCTCGTGTGTACCGTCTTCTGGTTCCTGCTGGTGCACAACTCCCCTAGCACACACCCTAGGATCTCCCCAGCTGAACTGAGATACATCCAGTCAAGCCAAAGTTCATTCAAGACATCGAAGGTGAGATGAACAGATTTGAACAGGAGAAATATTTGTCAGTCATCTTGTAATTCTTATCTTCAGTAGCAGCTCTATGTGTGACGTGTTTACTGCGTCACTCACTCCCAGGTGGAGAAAAAATTAATGTCCTCAGTGACAGATTACCACGACCTGCTGAACGACCAGTGGACGGTGAAAGGGTGAGTTAAAATAAGTTAGGTTAAGTTAGGTTTGTTAGGTTAGGTTAGTGTTAACGTTACGGTGGTTAATCTTAAGGTGAGATATGCTAGTTGGATTAAGTTAAGTTAGAGTGATTAATCTTAAGGTTAAATAAGTTAAGGTGTCTAATTTTCACGTGATTCCTTCTCTTCAGCATCACTATCGAGTTTCATCTCATAACTAAAGAGAAACACAAATAAATGCAGTGTTTTAATACATATCGTCAATCATTAATAATTTACTCTTCATTATTTTTCAGTACTTCTCTTTTTTTTAATCAGAAATATAGTTAACTTCTCGGTGATTAAAATACTCTACTCTTTACCCCATGTCTGTGCATCAAGTTAGAGGTAATACCATGGAAGGCGATCATTAACTCAAGACCCATGTGGGCGGCGTCAGTGATCGCTTTGGGGACAAACTTCTCCTTCTTTGTCCTACTGAGCGAGATGCCGACCTACTTCAGCAACATACAACACCTGGATATATACAGTGTTAGTTGGAATATTCAGTGTTAATTAAAGTTTACCTGTGTTACCGTAATCATATATATTTCATCACTGTGTTAAATAAAATGAACGTGCAAAAAATTACCCACAGAATCAGGGAATAGAAAATATATATATAATTTTTAATTAATTCTAACAGAGTATATTAGTGTGATAAGCGCATCCGTGCCTTTTACTTTTCACCAAATATTCAGTAACTTGTAAGTGTCATTCGTCGTGTATTATTGAGTTCATTGTATGGTTACTGACCTCACAGACCACAATGGTGGATGGGTTTATGTCTTACTATGTAGGTTTGGTTTATACAGTCAGTACCCATTTAACGTAGAGTACAGCTGCCTTCATTTATAACTGGTACAGAGTCTGGAGTGTCTTGTGAGATGTGGCACCACCGCCCACCAGACAACAGATAGAAGCCAATGACGTTCTACTTGGTAATCTATATATATATATATATATATATATATATATATATATATATATATATATATATATATATATATATATATATATATATATATATATATAAAAAAAAAATATGTGTGTGTGTGTGTGTGTGTGTTTGTGTGTGTGTCCGTACGAGAATCTCAGAAACTACTTTACCTATCGTAGTGATGATGGATGGTGTTATATAGTGATGGATGGTGTTATATGTAGTGATGATGGATGGTGTTATATGTAGTGATGATGGATGGTGTTATATGTAGTGATGATGGATAGTGTTATATGTAGTGATGATGGATGGTGGTAGTGATATGATGGTGTTATATGGTGATGATGGATGGTGTTATATGTGTGATGATGGATGGTGTTATATGTGATGATGGTGTTATATGTAGTGATGATGGATGGTGTTATATGTAGTGATGATGGATGGTGTTATATGGTGATGATGGATGGTGTTATATGTAGTGATGATGGATGGTGTTATATGTAGTGATAATGGATGGTGTTATATGTAGTGATGATGGATGGTGTTATATGTAGTGATGATGGATAGTGTTATATGTAGGGGATGATGGATGGTGTTATATGTAGTGATGATGGATGGTGTTATATGTAGTGATGATGGATGGTGTTATATGTAGTGATGATGGATGGTGTTATATGTAGTGATGATGGATGGTGTTATATGTAGTGATGATGGATGGTGTTATATGTAGTGATGATGGATGGTGTTATATGTAGTGATGATGGATGGTGTTATATGTAGTGATGATGGATGGTGTTATATGTAGTGATGATGGATGATGTTATATATAGAATATGAAAAGCATCCCTCTGTTGTCATTGGCAACATGGATAAGAAATGTGAACACTGCGGTGCAAAGAAGTACAAAGGAGAATCTGCTGGACTGTGCTGCTCTCATGGGAAAGTACGACTGCCAAATTTGGAAAAACCACCACAACCATTCAAGACTCTCATGCTGGGAACAACACCAGAGTCAAAACACTTCTTGGAAAATATTCTGAAGTACAATTCATGCTTCCAGATGACATCCTTTGGAGCTACCAGAGTAGTTCGTGAGCACGGATACATGCCCACATTCAAAGTCCAGGGTCAAGTCTATCACAAAGCAGGATCCCTCTTACCACTGGAAGATGAGCAGGCAAAGTTCCTCCAAATCTACTTCGTGGGAGATCATGAAAGGCAGACTACTATCAGGTGTGGCAATATTCAAGGTGTCAGACATGACATTGTCCTATCTATCCAAGAAATGCTGCATGAGCGCAACACGTATGTACAGTCATTTAAAAATGCCCTGGAAAACATGCCTTCTGACGAGTACAAAGTCAGGATCAAAGCAGACACCTTAATGCACTACAGTGAGACAATGTGGAGCCTCCCGGAGGGTGGCGTCCTACCGTGGCCTAGCGAAAGAGCCGCCCGGAGGGCGGCGATTCCGCTAGTGTATATTAAAAATACAACCATACAGCAAACAATGTAAACAACCAGTGTTGCCACATATCACAAAACATGCCAGTCAGTGTACCAGGTATAAATGGAGCCAACTGTACTGCCTGTTAACGAATATGCGCTTAATATACAGGTTATAAGGAATGAATTATAGTTATGTTAAACGAAGACTGAGTGCAAGGTGTTTTGAGTGATGCAGATGTTTTTGTTCGTATAGTAGACGTGTAACAATTGTCATTATATTTACACTTGTCATAGTTTATCTGTAAAACACGAATTATACATTTTGCGTTAACTATCATTTCAGCGATAGTTTACAATAGTAGTTCAAAATTTATAAACTAAATTAATGACCCCCTTCCCCCCCCCCCCAAAAAAAAAAAACTTTACTTTCGTTGAGTTTCTCTACTTTTACCTCACAGAACGGGATGGTGTCTGCTCTACCTTATTTTATATACTGGGTCTTTAGTATTGTGTGGGGCATCTTTATGGGCATTCTTACGCAGAGGGGGCTGCTCTCTGTGACCTGGGTGAGGAAGATCTCTACTAATGTAGGTGAGAAACACACACACACACACACACACACACACCTATTAACAGAAACTACTTAACCAAGCCAAACAAGACCGCCTATGTAAAGCACTGGACTTAATCCATTGTAAATCTTGAGGTTAACATTACGTCTATATAAACACTGTTGATGTTAATGGATGAATCATATAAACTTTCTCACGTCATCATATAAATCTCTCGTCATTATATAGCTCTGAGAATTATATAATGCAAGGTTATGTTCTGTGTTAGTAAATAATTTATATATTTTCCAGCAATTTTCGTCTCATCAGCTGCGTTAGTTGGTCTATGTTTCGTGAACTGTGATTCTACCCTGGCGATGGCAGCGCTCTGTGTGTCGGTGGGTTCCTGTGGTGCGTCATACAGCGGTTCTTCCCTCACCGAACAAGACATCGGCCCCAGCCTTGTCGGTACTTTAGTGGGTATCAACAACACCCTAACATCCATCACAGGTTTTTTGGCTCCCATCATCACTGGAATCATCATCAATGGTCATGTGAGTCAAAGTCTAAACTCAACGTATTTTTTTTATATTAGTTTTCTCTTTCCTATAACGCAAACACGAGTGTGGGAAGGTAGGTGTTGGTGGGCTAGTGGGAGGGTGAGCTATTGGGTGGGTGAAAGGGTGGGCCATTGGGAGTGGTGGGCTATTGGGTGGGTGAAAGGGTGGGCTATTGGGAGGGGGGCTATTGGGAGGGGGGGGCTGCTGGGAGGGTGGGCATTGGGTGGGTGAAAGGGTGGGCATTGGGAGGGTGGGCATTGGGAGGGGCATTGGGAGGGTGGGCTATTGGGAGGGTGGGCTATTGGGTGGGTGAAAGGGGGCTATTGCGGGTGAAAGGGTGGCATTGGGTGGTGAAAGGGTAATATTGGGTGGGTGAAAGGGTGGGCTATTGTTGGTGGGTGAAAGGGTATTATTGGGTGGGTGAAAGGGTGGGCTATTGGTGGTGAAAGGGGGCTATTGGGGGTGAAAGGGTGGTGGGTGAAAGGGTGGGCCATTGGGAAATTGGGGGAGGGTGGGCTATTGGGAGGGTGGGCTATTGGGAGGGTGGGCTGGGAGGGTGGGCCATTGGGAGGGTGGGCTATTGGGGAGGGTGGGTGTTGGGAGGGTGGGCTATTGGGAGGGTGGGCATTGGGAGGGTGGGCATTGGTCAGAGTGGTGGCTATTGGGAGGGGGCCATTGAGGGGGGCTATTGGGAGGGGGGGCTATTGGGAGGGTGGGCTATTGGGTGGGTGAAAGGGTGGGCTATTGGGTGGGTGAAAGGGTGGGCTATTGGGAGAGACACAACTTAACTTTAAATACATCAATATTCTCTTGGCTGAATACATCTAATACCTAAATCATAATATTTATCTCTGAACAAAAGTTACATTGCCAGGCGTCATTACGTTGTTGCTATAGTGTATTGTGTCTGTCTACTACTACTACTACTACTATTACTACTATCACTACTACTACAACAATTAACAATACCTTCCTTCCCCCGGCAGCAAACACTCACCAGGTGGAAGATTGTGTTCATTGTTACAATCATCGTTAATGTCTCAACCAACATCTTCTATAACTTCTTCATGTCAGCAGATGTTCAGCCCTGGAATAACCCGCCAACACGTCTACACACTATCTGAATCTTGTAAGACATTTGAAGTATTTGTAGACATTTAGTAAGGTGTGTGTGTGTGTGTGTGTGTGTGTGTGTGTGTGTGTGTGTGTGTGTGTGTGTGTGTGTGTGTGTGTGTGTGTGATAAATTAACCAATGATCTATTTACAGCCAAGGACACACTGGGAGAGGATCAAGACACAATCAACCCATGAATAACAGGAGTTTGCTAAGTTTCTCGTCTCCTCTCATCACCAACTGGCCCTCTCATCACCAACTGGCCCTCTCATCACCTGAGCTCCAACAAACACTCTTGCTTCACTCCGCTAACAATAACAAATTACTCGTGTTTGTTCTCTAACAGGATATTCATACGTTATCTACTGTGCATTCTTCTGTTGTCAGGATATTCTTTCAAGTTATCATGCCTCTAAAACCCATACGTAGGATTCTTAAAAAAATAAATAAAAATAAAAAAAATAAAAATAAAAATTCTATTATCTGACGACGTTTACTCTAACACCCTGTACACGATGTTTGAGCCTCAGCGATAGCTACTGGATATAGGACTCCAATCTCACGAGAAAATATCAAAAGTTATCAATAATTCTACACATGTTATTTATACCCTTCAGGCTATCGTCTTGTCTTACGCCCCAATCCCCACCAATTATCTAGGAATATATTTTTTATTATATCAAGGAATATTTTTTATTATACCCAGTGGATCTAAATTAACTTAACTATTTAGTAAATGTCACGAGAGCCGCCACCTGCCATTATCAACAATAACCTGAAAAGAATCTTAAAATATTAGAAATAAGCCAAAGTTCCAACCCTTACGATATATTAGGATTTAAAGAAAATATACTTGAAATATTATGGAGACGAATGATGTGAAACAGACTAAACTTTGTGGTCAATTACATAATTGTTTGTATATGTACAGTACAATTCCTCCCCTCCCCCCCCCCCCCCCCAATAAGAAGAGGAAGATGAATACTGTTACATGAGGTTAGTTCAGTCGACCACAGGTGTTAGTAATCACCATCATCGACTAAAGAGATCAAAGGTTAAGGGTTGTTTAGATGACTAGTTAACTGTCTCATAATTGGTTGTTGGTGTAAATTCAACATTATAGATATGATGCTGGTAGTGTGTGTGTGTGTGTGTGTGTGTGTGTGTGTGTGTGTGTGTGTGTGTGTGTGTGTCAATGGGCTGTCACCTCAGGATCAGGGCTATAGAGCTACAGAACAATAACATCAGAATCAGTAAACTCCCCATTTTCAGCCTAAGGAGTTTCCTGTAATCCGTAAATAAGGATGAGTCAGGACGTCTAGAAAGAGGAGGAGAGGAGAAGGAGGAGGAATAAGGAGAAGAGGAAATGAAGAGGGGAGGAGGAGGAGGAGGAATGAGGAGCAGGGAAGAGGAGGCAACACATCACATTTCTCTGTATACACTCAGTAGTCTCTTATTATAAGCCATCCAGTCCCATTATGTAGCGAGTGTAGCCGCGTGTAGACGTTAGATACGGCGGGGAAGGTGAGGGGGGAAGGGCGGAGGAAGGCCAAATGATGGATTATCGAGTTAATTCTTTATGCAGTGTTTTTAATTTGTGTTATTTCATAGTTTTAGATGGCCTCTGTTGGGCAACTTAACCCAACCCAACCCAACCCAACCCAACCCAATGCAATCCCAAATCCCATAACCCAACCCAACCCAAATCCCAACCCAAACCTAAACCCAACCCAACCCAACGCAACGCAACCCAACGCAAACCCAACCCAACCCAACGCAACCCAACCCAACCCAACCCAACGCAAATCCAACCTAACGCAACCCAACTCGTTCCAACCCAACCCAACCCAACGCAACCCAACCCAACCCAACCCAACGCAACTCCAACCCAAATCAACCCAACCCAACCCAACCTAACCCAACCCAACCCAAAATGGGACGTCAGGACTATGGGACAAACTTTTCTCCATAAATACTGTCAGAACTTCACAATGATTTTAAGATAAAGGAATTTTTCATCTCGATCTGAGTTTCTTGGCGTTCCACAGCTTCCACACAACCCGAGCAACTTGTCGACGTCAGGGCCACATTATGTAGCTATCATCCCTCCGAGTGAACTATCATCCCAACCATTTGCTCTTGTCTGACTCTAAAATGCGAGGCTAAATCACCTTACCTGCCTCTTTATCACGTTATGACCTCATTCACCAGTAGAGGTTTGGTGAGTGACGCCCGTTATCTCAGGTAGAAAAGCAGGATTTACCTTCCCAAAGATAACTGATTATTTATGGGGTTCTTTTTTTTCCTCCTTTTTCCTCCTTCTTCTCCTTCATTTCCTTGTGAGGAGTCTTGTTGATGTGTGTGTGTGTGTGTGTGTGTGTGTTATTATAGATGAGAGAGTAAGGCGTATATCTCACCCACTCACTCCACACACACACACACACACACACACACACACACACACACACACACACACACACACACACACACACGACAACTTTATCCATCATCAGTAATTAACAACTTCACAAAATACCTAAGAATTTTTTGTATATTACTACGAATACATTAAAAAAAATCGTTAAAACTGACCAATACAACAGTAGAGTAAATCGTATTACAACGATAATAAAAACTAATAATAAAAAAATAAATACAATATCTGTTTTAATTCTTCATATTATTATTTTTTCATGAATCAAAGGAAAAAAAATCAAGAGTCAAATTTTATAATATTTTTAAAGTTTTGTAATATATTTAGATCATTACACAAGAAGCAAAACGTAATACCATTCTCAATTCTAATCTAACATTTTCTTTAGCCAATACACCTGAATATTATCTCCTGCAGCAAAACAAAACCTTAACTCACTTCCACATCCGAGATAGAAAGTAGCGAACCCTGGCGAAACTTCTGCATAAATGTATGTAATAAGTTCTATCGGGGATGTAAACACCTACTCTATACCGCTATATGGATATTTGAGTATCCACATATGAATCTTCGTACCGAGGAGTCTTGACGGTACCAGACGCACACAGAACCCCGAGTCCAAAGCTGGGTAATGACCACCCCATTCCCCAGCCGACGTTGCCAAAGTATTACCACCAACCACTCTTTCCAATTTCAGATACCAGCAATGTGACGCTAGAAACATGTATATTGCAGTTTTATTCCCCGTGAACCATCCTCACTACTATTCTCATTGGTTATCTACTACCTTATGCTACAACCAATCAGAGTTGTTCTTCAATATCCATAAACTAGGAGTGTCTATTTGTATGTTTATGGATTGTAGTGTTATGTAATATATTAGTATCCATCCTCTCACACACACGACACGACACGACACCACACCACACGACACGATACTACTGAAGGGTCAAGACGTACCTGGCGCTCCTCTCGGAGCAGCCAGGTCAACTGTTAAGTTGGCCCATACCAACCCCCTCCCCTGAACCCTCCTCCCCACCGGAATATCAACAAGTTCTCGCCAGAAGTTACAATTTCATTTAGGAAAGGAACGGAACCAGTGTTAAACAGAGGTGAACAGTGGTGAACAGTGCTTAAGTCAGTGAGAACAACTCAACAGTAACAGTCGCACCCAAGTTAACCTTCACACAGTGAGGTCCCAGGTACCCAGTGATAACGGCCCCACGAGACCCAACAACAACCACCGATGTGTTAATCCGTCTACGATAGGAAGGCCTGGGACCAAACCTCACCCATATAACACCATCTGTGAGGGAATTACTACACCACATGTCCCTCATAACACCATATGTGAGGGAATTACTACACCACGTCAAGTCCCTCATCACACCATCTGTGAGGCAATTTCTACACCACGTGAGGTCCCTCATAACATCATCTGTGAGGGAATTACTACACCACGTCAGGCCCCTCATAACACCATCTGTGAGGGAATTACTACACCACGTGAGGCCCCTCATAACACCATCTGTGAGGTAATTACTACACCACGTGAGGCCCTCATAACACCATCTGTGAGGTAATTACTACACCACGTGAGGTCCCTCATAACACCATCTGTGAGGGAATTACTACACCACGTGAGGCCCCTCATAACACCATCTGTGAGGGAATTACTACACCACGTGAGGTCCCTCATAACACCATCTGAGGGAACTACTACACCACGTGAGTTCCTCCTAACACCATCTGGGAGGGAGTTACTACACTACGAGTTTACTGTTCAACACCTACATTAATCTGTATGTTCACTGTATGTTCCTTCACCTTTCTCTAATGAAGGTTTTTGTTAAACCACCAATGTATGTAATAAGTCATTTATGTCCAATGTATATTTTCAGCCTTCGGGCTGCAGAAATTTTTCAATAAACCGTTAATTATTATTATTATTATTTATACGACACGACACCACACGACACCACACGACACGACACGACACCACACGACACGACACCACACGACACGACACCACACGACACCACACGACAGCATCAAAAGCTCGTAAAGATTGTTCACTTGTCTTTTACCATCACCTTTCTATCTCTTTATATTAATTTATGAACTATGACACCTCGTCCTCTGACATCACTCTATTATTCTCATCGTTCACTCTGACACCCTGACACTCTACCACACTGCCACTTGACACCCTGACACTCTACCACACTGCCACTTGACACCCTGACACTCTACCACACTGCCACTTGACACCCTGACACTCTACCCTGCCACTTGACACCTGACACTCTACCACACTCTGACCACACTGCCACACACCCTGACACTCTGCTGCCACTTGACACCCTGACACTCTACAACCCTGCCACTTGACACCCTGACACTCTACCACACTGCCACTTGACCACTCACTCTACACTGCCACTTGACACCCTGACACTCTACAACACTGCACACCCTGACACTCTACACACTCTACAACCCTGCCACTTGACACCCTGACACTCTACCACACTGCCTCTACCACTTGACACCTTGCCACTTGACACCTGACACTACACACTGCCTTGACACCCTGACCTGCCACTTGACACCCTGACACTCTACCACACTGCCATGACACCCTGACACTACCACACTACACACACACCTACGACACCCTGACACTCTACCACACTGCCACTTGCACCCCTGACACTACCACACCACTTGACACCTGACACTCTACCACTGACACCCTGACACTCTACAACCCTGCCACTTGACACCCTGACACTCTACAACACTGCCACTTGACACTCTGACACTCTATAACACTGCCACACTTGACACCCTGACACACACACACTGCTCTACTTGACACAACACTGCCACACACTCTGACACTCTACAACACTGCCACTTGACACCCTGACACTCTACAACACTGCCACTTGACACCCTGACACTCTACACACTGCTGACACCCTGACCTCTACAACACTGCCACTTGACACCCTGACACTCTACCA